TTTTCAACGAAATATATGAGTAAACTAATTCATTCAAAATTACTTTACTTGCTGCAATGATATCGAATTACTTTATTCAAGAATTTTCGATTTAGAAGGATGACTTATATTTCTAAACAGGATATTGATATTAGGCGCTAGTTTTTTGGATTGGATCAAACGTGTTTTGTATTTGCTGTTGGTGTACGTGCTGCTGTTTTAAGGTCTGTTCATTTTCCCAAGTTATCATGTGCTAATATCTAATTTATATTTAAGAGTACTGAATTATGCTGCTACCGAGGGATATCACCTAGGTTTTCGTGTATTGACTAATAACTGGAACAAAAGTTTATCATAATGGCGTTGGCAACTGTACTTTCAATGTTACGCTATGTGGGGGAGATCGATGATCGAGATTTCGTTGATCGTCTGCATAGCTACTTCACTACGAATATACTTATCGCCACTTCAATTATAGTCAGTTTCAAGGTATGTTTGAAATCACGTGAAAGTTTTTAAGGGTTTTACCAGTCGTTTTAGGCGACGTGTGGAGAGCTGTTTTTCGCAACAGTGACTTTTTATCAAAAAAAACTTCTTGTCCTTTGTAGTCAGTGAATGTGCATGGCTTTTTCTTTCTAGTGGGACGGATTTTAGGTTTCTTTTTTTGGATTCTTTAGCATTATTTTGCTGGATATTCTTCATGGAGATAGCTTTGTGAAAAATAATAGGACGAAAATTTTTTCCGAGTTTTATCTATGGTGCGTTTTGTGTCCACTTATCAACCATAAAATTCACGCTTCTGGTGTTTTACATTAGCATACCTACTTAAATGATTTACTTGGCTTTGACTTCTTCAATTTCTTAAATCACATTAAATAACCGTCAGTTTTATGTTATTTTTGGGCTTATTTATTGTTGGGTTGCAAATGACATTTGTTGCAGCAGTTTGGTGGCAAACCGGTAGAATGTCTTGTCCCAGAAATTTTCACTAGCTCTTGGGAGCAGGTATGTTCTGTTTCTTTATCTTTTACTTTGAAAGAAGTTGAAATGTTAAAAAAGTTGAAGAACAGTTATCACGAAGAAGCTACTCGAAATTGAGAGGTTACGTAGCTTTTTAAACTTTTTTTTTTTTAAAATTGCTGTTGTCGGTAAGATGTCGTAGTCCAGAAACAGTTATACAAGTGTCTCATGTTTATTATTGGTATACTCAAATTAAATTAAGATATTTTTTTTTAGTTTTTTTAACTATGATAACAATTTTTTAAGGAGGTGAGTGAACACTAGTAGAATTGATAATCGCTAGTGTAATTGGGGTTTGTAGCCTTATTTCCTTTTAGTATGCAGAGAATTATTGTTGGGCTCAAGATAATTATTATGTTCCATTAACTGTTCCCGTGGAAAGCAAACGGCCTGAAGAAAAAAGAGAAAGCCGCATTTCTTATTATCAGTGGGTTCCATTCTTTCTTCTTGCTGAGGCAGCCTGTTTTCGATTGCCAAGTTTATTGTGGAAGTATATGGCTGGTTATTCGGGTACTTTTAGTCTAATGTTTCTTAATTTCTTACTATTACTGTATGTGCTTTGCCGATAACAGGATTTTATTATTTCGTATGCTTTATGCCTTCAGGGATCAAGTTGCATGAAATAGTGAAATTAGCGTCGGATCCAAATAACATAAAGCCGGATATAAAGAGAGCCAATATCAAGTCTCTCACTGTTCATTTACAGGTATTATTAACTTACTTTATCTGCTTGGAACATCAGCAACATTTAGCTCTTTCTGACAGCATTATTTTTCAAAAGTTTAGGGCGCTTTGCGTTTCCACCGACGACTACAAAAAAAACAGCTTCGGCCTCATCGAATATTGCGGTTTTTTAATATACCATATACTGCTTTCTTTGTTACTTCGATGTATATTCTCACAAAAATGTTGTATTTAGTGAATGTTTGTATTCAGCTTTACCTCTTAAATTGGTACGTTCAACTTTTTTTGTTATTAACTGTTTATAGGTGGCTCCTTTCCGAAAACAACTTGTTTCATGTGGCTTATAGTTAGATGGCGAGGTTTTTAGGTCTTCTTTTCTAATGCGTGTTCTGTTTTAAAAGTAAGATTTTTTTACGGCACTCATTCTGCCTACTGAGCTGTTGTTCTCCAGGTTTTTGGAAACTGATCGCTACGCTTGGTACGGACTAGGGGCTGTAGTTGACTTGATTCACGGAAAAACGTGGGAGCAGTCTGGTGTTTTCCCTCGCGTATCTTTATGTGATTTAGATGTCAGTTGATATACTATGTTTTAAAAATTTTTAAGTGGCTTTTTTGCTATATTTTTAAATTCAAACTTAATTTAGGTTAGAGTAATGGGGAACCTTCAGAAGCACACCATTCAGTGTGTCCTCGTAATCAATATTTTCAACGAAAAAATTTTCGTATTCTTTTGGTTTTGGTATGCTTATGACCGACTATAATCAGAAGAATGTCTGCGATTGCTTGCTGTTTATCTCACGCTCTTATCTTTCCAGTTTCTCTAATTAAGAACTTCTAGAAATACTTGCAGTACAACTCAGCTAAATTCCTTTAAATCAAACTTTTGACCACGACTGTAGTATGTTGATTTATAGGTTTTTAATGTTGATGGTTTTGACGACCCTCAGTTTGTTCTACTGGCTTTTCGTATCGATTATTCCTCAGCCCAATAGACGTTTCATTAACCGACACCTTGAAATGAGCGAATTGCCATTTGATCCTACAGGTACCGACAATTTTCGGTTATAGCATCTCTAAATCGAGGATTTGGGAAAACTTCCGCTGGTTGGTCGTATGAACTGATACAAATTCAATTTTTCAGAAAGTGAGAAGGATGTTAAGAGATTCATTAACAGTTATTTGAAAAGCGATGGACTGCTGGTGATCAGGATGCTGACGATGCACGCAGGTGTCATTTTTGGAACTGAACTGGTATTATCTCTTTGGACATCTTATTTTGGAATTGAACGAAAATTTAAAAGACACAATTCGTTTTCTGGTGCGACAACCCTTTGGCCGCCTCCTCCAGGTGAAGGATGGCTTTGATTTTTGTACTGAAATTGATCATTTAATTTTTAACGAAATTAATGAGCTCCTGAATATTTTGATAATTTACGTAGTTTCTGCCAGTACCTAAGGATAAACATGCAGCAGATTTTAAAAAATCACGAAGATTTGAGCTTTAACTTCTGACCTTTTCTGTTTAGATAAACCGATAGGTGATACGAAACTGGATAGGATCGAGGTTGCTGAGAGTTTTGAAAATCAGGAAAATCTTATTAGGCAAAGACGTCTCGCAGAGAGTGGTTTCAAAACTGATCAGCAAACGATTAGATTGGGAGATAAGGCAGCTGAGTACAGTAAGCTGCTGGACCCGAAAAGTCAGTGTTATAATTTACCATAAAAAGATGCAGGGTTTAGGCTATACATTTTTGAGTTTTGCTCTTTCTTATTTTTCTATGTTTGAAGCGAAAAAAAAAGCTATTTCAACGTTGTAGCAACTGGAAGTCCCCGGTATGCGATAAAGGGGCTTAAAGAATCAAACGTTGATAGTGACGACAAGCTGAAAAACAGTTTCCAGTCGTTTTATTTAGGTGATCTGCGTTCGAAGGAACTCAGTTCGCCAAAAAAAAGTAAAATGGCCGTGTGATCGACGTTGAATTATAACATGTGCCTTCTGTAACTATTTATCTCTAAAACCTCGTTATGAGCTTTGGTAGAAAATTTTATCTGCCATTTCTTGATAAGTTTTTGTACATTTTTGCTGAAAATTGCAGTAGGCTTCTTACGGGTGTCAAATGTATTTAAGGGGGCTGCATTTTTGAAAACTTCGGATTCCTAATGCTTAGATAAATATATATTATCTTTACTTCAACAATTAAACTCTCTATAGAACTATCCTTGAAGACAAGCTAGCGATGATAAAAGGAACCTGTGGTTGGTGACTGATAGATTTAGAAAGGTGTACAAAATGTTAACAAAATAATAGCCTAGAAGTGTTTCTGCATTTCTTTTTTCAACGTTACCATGGTTGTTAGTGCTGAAAATAGTTATGAAATTATTCTGGTTACCTATTTAGTACTTCTCTTTGTAACCTTGAATTGTGCAGTGAAGAACTCGTCGTTTTCGCTGTTTGCCTGGGCAGCAAACGTGGTTCTTGTTTCTTTTGCTCATTATGATCTTTGTTTACAAAGTAAGTCATTTTGCCATTCGGCTTTTTTTAACGCTCCTTTCCTTCACTTGGCGCTTTTACTGTGAACCGTGGTTGCGTTTACAGTCTAAATGATCAGAATCTATAGTATTTCATGATTATTGTGACGGTGTCTTAAGTAGTTTGACAAAGCTTTATTGAGGTGCATTAATAGCTTGCATAAAGAGGAAGTACAAAGTTACTGTTGAAAAGACACCTTAATCTGCCTCAGTTATAGCATTTGCTTCCTTGGTATTTATGCTGTTATGACTCACTATTTTAACTCCATGGTAGGTACTCGGGAAATTTATGAATTACGTAATTTTGTCAGTGTGGCAAACTTCCATAAG